GTGGGGGGTGTCGCGGGGCGCGTGGGGTGTCGCGGGGCGCGAGGTGTGTCGCGGGGCGCGAGGGGTGTCGCGGGGCGCGAGGGGTGTCGGGGCGCGCGGGGTGTCGCGGGGCGCGCGGGGTGTCGCGGGGCGCGCGGGGTGTCGCGGGGCACACCACGTGACATGCACAACGTACACACGAAGACGTCACAAGTGATTCTATTTACAAATAAAGTAGTTTATTTACATTATTAATGCAATATTTACAACAAAGGAGAGCTAATCTTTGGACTAAACAAGTGTATAACACAGCAGAGATCCCACACGAGTATTATGGAATGCTTTCAACTTAAGTAAGATTGTATCTAGCTAACACTTATATCTGTTACTTTATCTTAAGTTACGATAAGCCTACGTTTATTTCTTAAACATTTTAACAACAAAAGATAAATTTCTAACCCCTTGCGAACATACAAGAAACATTTAATATATCCTTATACATTTTCAAATACTGATTTCCACTTCAAAGATAAAATTTCGGTGTCAATATATCTAGTTTGCAGATGAGAATCTGCGGACTTTCTCGTACGTATATAGCGTAGTAAATATTAATGCACACACAACGAATAAAATATTGACCACATACACATTAAATACCCACACGATTGGACCAACGAAATCTTCGTTCGTGCGGTTGCACACGCCGTCCAGAACAGAGCATATTGTACTTAGTAATGAAACAAATCTCGAGGAGAATTATGCACAGGTACTGGTCTTTGGCGTTTTCGCTCGCGACGAACGCTACAGCGAATCTAACTATATTATTATACAACTATATGAATATGACCTTTGATATTAACATAGTAACAGAACTTGGTTGTAGCGAATGGCACGTCTCCTTTGGCTCGGGACACGACGTGACATGACAACACGCCGTCGAGCATACACCTTAACTTACACAACGAAATACCGAGCGACGAATACTTTATATATTTATCGATATCGAGTGCATGATGCATCGCAAGCATCGCATTCACACGGCGGCGGGGGGCGCGGGGCGCGCAGGGGGCGCGGGGGGCGCAGGGGGCGCGGGGTCTAATCCCTGTAGGGCTTGCAGATGGCGAAGCGGTGGTTCATGTGCTGGCTGTAGGAGCCGGAGTGCGAGAACTTCTTGAGACACTTGCAGCACTGGAAGGGCTTCTCGCCCGTGTGCAGCCGCTTGTGCTCCGTCAGATGGTGCTTGTGCTTGAACGCCTTCGGGCACTCCTCGCACTTGTACGGCCGTTGACCTGAAACACGCGCGCCTCTGTTAGACACCACACCGCACACGACATTAGCCTGCTGGCCGACCGCACGACCATGCTGCACCACACCTGCTATGATTTTTTATGAAACGGGGCAGGAATAATTGAAACTGTGTCTAACTGAATCATAATAAGCGGATATAGCAATCCGGTATAAGTTTTAATTGTAATACAATAACCTCGGCTTGTGAAGTAACACTGTATTGTAAATGAATAAGATAGACAGATAGATTACCGACCTGAGTGCTCGTACTTGTGCCGCGCCAGAGAACTTTGCTTCACGAAGGTCTTATCGCATTGGTTGCACACGAATTGCCCCTCTCCTTCTTTCAGTTCGGTTTTCATTTTTTTCTTCAGTAGCGCGGCGTCGTCGTCGTAGTCGGCCGACATCGGCGCCTCGTCCCAGGCGGAGCGCTCGGGGCGGTCGGCGCGCTCGGCCCGCTCAGCCCGCTCGTAGCCCGGGCTGGGCGCGGGGACGCGCACCATGTCGCTGTATTGTAGGAGAGTGCCCATCGGTATAATAGGATTGGCGGACATCTTCTTGGAGTACATTCGTTTGTGTCCGAGCACTATTTCGGTGGGCGAGGGAGACACCATAAAATCTGAGAATGATGAGGAGGAGCAGTTGGAATGCGGGTAGCCGGGGCCGGGGCCGGGGGCGGGGGCGGAGGTGGTGCCGGGGGTGTGGGCGGAGGGGCCGGGCGGTGCGCGCAGCGGTGTGGTGCTGCGCGACGACTTCTGGCTCAGATTGACCGCCTCCTCGCAGTCGGAGAGCGCGTACGTGCCGGGCGTGCCGGGCGTGGCGGGCGCGCTGCCCGGCGACGACGGGCTCGGGCTCGACGCCAGGGACGGACTAGACTTCTTAGTTGACAAGTCGAGCGGTTGGTCCGAGTGGGCGACCGGCTGAGTCATTCTCCGCACCCTAGCTCTGTTGTTTTGGAACCACACCTGAACCACTCGGTTGTCCAGACCTATTTGCTGTGCGATTTTCTTAAATTCCTCCCGATTCGGTCGAGAATTTGCCGCATAGTATTCTTTTAAAACATGTTGCTGCTCCTCGCTCAGCGCGGTGCGCACTCTGATCTTTCTATCCGTATCGTGAATCGATACTTTGTCGTCGCGCTCCTCCCGCGTGGTCGTCTCGTCGTCGTCGCTGGCGCCGGCACCGCGCGCGCTCGCCTGCAGCTCGGCCTCCAGTCTGTTGAGCGCCACCGTCTCGGCCACTTGAGCTGCGAGGCCTTCGTGTTTCCTGAAGAGATTTCCGCACACTAACTTTTCGTGCTCTATTAAGTCATTTTTGTCTTTGAAAGACAGACTACATTTATAGCATACGAAGTCGTCGACGATCTCATCTTTTATCGTAAGTCCGGGCGAATGCGGTGGCCCGAGGAACGTTCCATCCGCAGGAGACCCGCTCTTTATTCTCTCTGTAAATAGGTTTTCAATTCTTCGTATTCTTGGCGACCTAGTGAGGTCGTGTTCACTATTATCTAAATTATTTTTGGAGTCAAAAATCGAGTCGCGGGACTGCGGCCGAAATTCATTATCCGCTCTTTCATTTTCTCTCTTGATAGCTACCGATTCCTCGTCCTCTATATCCATTACAAGCTCCGCGCTGCCTTCGGATCGTTTGTCATCTTCTTCTGTGATTTCTTCTATCATGTCCTCGGGGTTCGCGGCGAGAGGACTACTTAATTTTGGATCAATAATATTCTCCATTTTTCTCTGATGGTACTGCGTCGAGGCTATCCGCTCGAAAAGTTGGCTGAGGGTAGAAGGAAAGCTGTAGGGCGCGATGCCTGCCGCGGGACTAAGAGGCACGCCGGCCGGCAGGTAGAAGGGGTTGAGCGCCGGCTGAGGGAGGGGCGCGCGAGGAAAGTTTTCTTGTGCCGACATGGAAGCGAAGAAGGCCGTCGCGTCGTTGTACTTCGGCAGCAGAGGCAGGAAGGAGCCGCCGTTGGGCAGCAAGTTATTGTTGACGTGCGAGGCGACGAACGCACTCGCGGAGGCGCGCTTCCGCGTCGGACCGCGGTTGAGGGTCAGCACCGGGTTGTTGGGTTTGATCCTACCCATCTTCAGGTTCATGACAAGGCACTTCTTGGAGGTGGTGTGGCTGGAGTAGGAGCCGGAGTGAGAGAACTTCTTTCCGCAGTTGGCGCACTCGAAGGGCTTCTCGCCGCTGTGTATGCGGAGGTGCTCCTTCAGGTGGTGCTTGAACTTGAACGCCTTGTCGCAGTCGTTGCACTTGTACTTGCGCAGGAGGGCGCTCTCGTCGTGGCTCAGCATGTGCCGCTGCAGCCGGTACACGTTCTGGAAGCTCTTGTGGCAGATCTTGCAGCTCTGTACCATACATAACAAATATCATTATAATTTTGATAATTCTCTTATTATTCAATAATTGATTTGTAATTTATAGATTTCATTTAATTCATATATTATCAAAAGAAAGTATGAGAGGATAACAACAAATTGATTTTCTCGGTGTCTCGTTTTTGGCTATTGCTGATCTAACTAACACTTTGGTACTCAAACATGAAACTAAAAATAAATTGTGGCGCGTATGTTCTAGAAAAAGTAAGGTTCTTAAGATATCGGGGATTGGCAAAGGCGGGCAAGGGGTAGAGGACGGGGCACGCGGAGCAAGCGGCAATGGGCAGGGTCGAGCAGGCGAATGTGAGAATGACAAGGGCACTGACATATTGCTGGGTATCCACCTGAGTGCTGGGCGCGTGCAGAGTCTCGTGTCGTTCGAGCTGGGCGCGTGACGGGTAGGCGCCGCGGCACTGAGTGCAGCGGTGCGGCCCGCCGGGGCCCAGAGGTGAGCCCCCGCGCTCCTCCTCCTCCTCCTCGCCCTCTGCGCCACCACGCGCGCCCACGCCCGCGCCCACATCACCGCCTCCCAGCGGCCGAACTGTTGATAACAAACACACGTCTTACTCTATCTCTACTGGATCACCTCTTTATTTTACACCAGCTTAACAAAGTGGATGTTGTTAAAAAAGATGTGATCACAGCACATGTATTACGGTCGATAACATTCGATAGGCACTTTAAATTAATTAAAACGAGTTCGATTTACAGAGGTTTTATTAACAAAAAAATGCAATAAACATTTGCCGCTTTTAATAAAGTCCTGTAACACACGAGGCAACACTGATTGCCATGGGAAATGTAAGCCGCTTCCCCTCCGCGCCACTGTACGTGTGACGTACTCCACTTCAACACAATTATTTTCTAGATAAACCTTCCAAATTCGTCTGAATTCGTTTTAAGTTTTGGCATTCCGTCGACTCTTCTTTTGATTTTTTCCATAATGGCTGTCATTATCGAATGCATAACATAGGTATCGTATAAACCGACAAAGATATCGAATCAGATGGGCAAAGCCCGAATTCGCAAGGGCGTTTTTTTTAAACCACCTTAAAACGCGTTCAAATAGAACCAATGCTTATCCATGTATCTATTAATATGGTGAAAACAGAATGCATTTTTATCTCTCAGTTTTGCATACACCAATTGTTCACTGGACGAATGAAACAAAAGATATTTTAACCGTCTTAGTCTCATGCATCTTTTACGTGTAAAATGCCAATAATAATTACCCTCTTTTTTGTAAAATTTTGGAGTAAGAGAAAATAATGTGTAACTTTTGTAAAAATGTTTCAATTTTCATTAGTTTTTAAATTGTAAAACAAATTACTCGTCAGACGCTCACTCACGACTGCCGCTGGCGGAACTAAAAAACACACTAACGCGTGAGTCGCTACCGCGCATCTGGCACTTTTAGATAAAACACGCAGAAGCGCGATTGCGCGCCTTGGCACTAAGACGGTTAAAGCGCTCAGCCGCCAATGCCGAGTTTTAACGCGGTGTAAAAAAGCGCACAAGTAAAAAGAACTTGCACAGGCAAGTCAAACTAAATTATAATAGCTGAAATTTGTGCGCGCATCCTGCGCAACAAACTCGAGCAAACAGCAGCTCCCCGCGCCCCGCACGTAATCGCGTAATAACGGTACCTCTCGTAAAATCGCACCGCGCCGTAAATCATACGTAATAAAGAGCAAAACAACGTCGCGACGTATTAATTAGTGTGGCCGCGTCCGCCGAAACCTACGCGTATTGAATTTTAGGAAATATGAGATCGTAAAGTGCGTGCTGCTGGCCCGCGCGGCTTATGGAGGTGGTGCGGAGATAACGCTGCACGTAACGCGCTCTTGCTTCACTAGAGGTCGCCACACACGGATCCCTTCCTTTAAGGGTCGGCGTTTGACCGCCAGGATGCTTAGCCGTGACTTCAAGCTTATTGGCGAACATGACCTGCTGATACCTCCACCTGTTTGAAGCAGCAGGTAAGTAGGTAGGTATAACGTGTTTTCGTAGTATTTTAGGTAAAGAAAAATGTCCGCTACTAGTGGTTGCAGCCACCGGATAATCCAACCGTTGTTAATTGCTTTAAATTAATTAATAAATAAGTCTTTCAATAATTTATTTACCGAATACCATATAAACATAAACGTAAACATTAATTTAAGATCATTATCAATCAGAAGCTATTTGCCAATTATCGGTATTTAACCTGATTTTACGACAAATGTTTTTGAAATGCTTTACAAAAAGTTTGAGATTGTAGGATTTCTTATTTCTCTTCCTACGTTACACATGTTTATAACATACATTTTAGCAACATTTTAATTTTACTATTTTTTAAAACTGTATTAAAGTAATAAATAGTTACATTAATACTGTCACTGCTGAACGTTAATAAGATAAAATTAAAATAAATTGCGACTTTGTTATGCTACCCGACAACAGATGGCGTTAGTTGTCGCGTGCAACATCGCAAGTATGTTAGCAATAAGTTTATATTAAACAAAGATATATATTTTAACAAACGTTATAAAATGTCACAATATAAGAAACGCCTACCTTTAAATAAAGGATACAAAGGTATCGTTAGAGTTAATGAATTGTGGATACAGGCTAGGATTTGGCTCGTGTAAAATCTCTTTTGAATATTTTTGATTTTCGACAGTTGCTCTCATACAACTTGCAATCGGAAATTTCGTGATTGTTGTTTTTGAATTACAATGCAAATAAAATTATTTCTTTCTCAAAATGTAAGAAGTACAGGTATAATATAATACATTATTTATACTTTTAAGAACTATAATTGCCTGCCTCGAGGTGACTGTCGTCGCCTGACTTTCCGATGAAACGTTTCATTTGCAATTATTCATTGAACAAAACAAAATAAAAATGAACGGATTAATGGAACATTTTAATTGGAATGTAGAGTCGGCAAAATGCGTTGCGATCAACTCTGGACGTTGTTCCTTTACGCTCCTTTACGCTCCTACAGCCAGTCAAATTATGTTTATATAAAGTTTGTTATACTAGCAAATGTGAATGTAATATACATAATAGATAGTGGTAATTAGTGTAGTGTAGGCAGACATGTGTATGTATGTAGCTGTGGCCGGCGACACGGTCGCGCGTGTAGGCGGGCCGGACGGCGCGGCTCCTAGCCAGCGGTGAGCGGCCCGAGCGCGTCCGCTCACCGCTGATAAGCCGCGCCCCGGACTGTCGGGCCGGACAGGGGGGCACCGCAGCTGCCACATAACTTTAAGAACATATTCTCTTTTACCGTTCCTCGTATCTAATCTATTCAACATAAAATACCTGAGCTTAATTATGACAAAGTTGATATTTTTAAAATGTAATGTATATTGTGTATGTTATTATTATTGTTGTTGCTTTGCTTTCAGTGCAATGTACCAGTGACGTAATTTTTAAAAGCTTGTGGAGCTCAGTGGAAAGGTATACAACACGAGGCACATCATGGCCGCATGCCACGTCGCATCATCCGCAATAACTTTTGTTGCATTAGTACACGATCTTTATTTTCGCCTCGTAAAATGCGCAGAATTTGTCATGTTTAATGTCCGCTTTCAAAATCAATTTAGAGATGTAGTCGTCGGACATAACACCACTGCTGACATTTACTTATCCTTTACGGAGTTTTTTATTTTTCAATAAAATGTCTACATTTCTGGTTCTATAAAAAGATTTGCTCGAATTAAGAGTTATACTAATTCATCTTATTCTTTCACATTATTCGTATTCACTAATACTGTAAAGAATTTATTTTTTAAATTAGTACGATAAAGTTGCTATTATTAGAAGTTATGTTTTAACTAAATTAATTATTTTGTACATTGATGAACTATCAAGAAAATTGAAAGAGACATAAACTTAAACCAAATGTAATTTCAGTAAGAATTACCTATATAAATGTGTTGGGCGAGCGATGTGACACAGAGCCGCTTCGCTTCATACACTATTATAAATTATTTTAATGAGAATAACAATAGAGAAGTTTATTTCATGTTCGGTGTGTCACATTTCATTTTGCTATTTACTAGATTTGTATTCAGGAGAACAGAACAAACACACACACATATATTTCAAGAACACTTTCTGTTTTCTATTATAGTTTGATGAGTATTGAATGCTGCGAGCTGGGACATTTTTTTGTTTAGGAGAAGGGGGCAAACGAGTGGCGCGATGACCGAGATGGTCATCGACGCCCAAGGCCAATGGCAACACTAGAGGAACTGTAGATGCGTTGTCGGCCTTTGAGAAAGAGAAAGGCTCGTTTAGGAGATGGGTATATTCAAGCATCGAGTAAGGAGTTATCACACTTGTATTTGCCAGAGTTAATGAAACTGTTAATTTTGTTGACAAGAAGTAAATGCTTAGTGAGGTGGCAGCAGGGGCAGCAGGGGCAGCAGTGAGACAGTGATTAGCATTCGGCAAATGTTTAGACAAACAGATGATTATTGTAACGAGCGTCGCCTCGCTAATGAGTTTGACTTTTATAACTTGAGAAGGAATGTGCCGAGGCCGCCTTCTCGCGATCGTCAGTATATTTTGTATCACTTCACTTCTATAATACTTTAATAATTAAGTATTATAAATAATATTTACATATCAACAAAATCCTTGCGACTTAATGTTAAAAATAATTTATCTTTGCGAGCATATCCTGGTCCGTTTTCATTAGTTATGAGTTTTGTTCGCTACGATATATTGAAATTAAACACTTTTCATAAGAGAAATGGCGCTTAGTTTAGGAGCACAACTTAAGTAAATGCTAGTTATGCAAATAACATCACCCGTGTAACTTAGTTAGATTTATGTAAAAGTTAGAATCCTCTGTGTTAAAGTGTAATATTTATGTTAACTTTTCTCTTGTAACTTGAATGTTGATTGATTTCATCTACGAGTAAACAAGAATATCAAACAAAATATTCTACATGTCACAGTATTTGTGCGGGACATAAACTAAAAGCTCATTCCGGTGCCGGCCGCTGGTGCGGCACTGGCTCTTCGCCACCTCTTCACCACCTCGACACCACCGCGGACAAGCGGCGCTCACACGCCAATAAAAAGCGAAGGAAGAAAAAAGCAAATTAATTAAAATAAGATGATCGTTTACATTTTAAGACGGCCCCCCTTGAGAACGCAACTTTGATTCAAGTGGTTGCGTACCTGTGCCCCTCACAATTGCACCACTCTCATCCCCGAGGTCTCGCTACATTTTTATTACGGATAAGAAAGACGTGAGACAAGTTACACCTGAGTTGATTCAATTTGATGAACTCTAAACACGGCGGCTAGCTTCCTCCGTTTTAATTACATTTGGAGATAAGTATTAAGAGTAAACGTGAAAACAAAGTTTTCTAAAGAAAATAGAGATGGTCGTCGCGGAAAAACAAAAAAAAAATAGTATAAAATTGCAAATAAAAAAGAAAGGAAAAGAAGCTTACTGAATGCGGCGAGCCTGGCCGAGGTGGTCGAGGTGGGAACCTGCTTACTCCGCATGTCGGCCAGCCAGCCGGCCGCCAGGCGCTCGCACCAGCCGCCCACTCCCATAAGCGAGCTGTGCACTTTCATCAGCACGTCACGTCACTGCGCCTCTCGCGCCACTCACTCCGGCGCGCTACTCACGTCGGCAGGCGCCCCACACGTTGGCCAGGCTCCACAGGCGGTACGAGTAGCTGTCACCATAGCACCCGAACATCTCATCGGTTCTCGCGACCATGGCCCGCGCGCGCGGATACGTGCGACGTTCAGCGCGGCGCGCGGCGGAATGAGCGCGGCCCGCCTCTCGCCCCGCCCTGCGCGCGGCCGCTGCCCCGCCGCCCGCAGCCCGCCACCCGCGCTCGCCGTCCCCCCGCGGCCCGCGTCCGCCGTTCAGCCCTTACACCTCCACTTAATTAGTGGCGACCGTCGACCGTCGGTCGCCGCCGTCCCGTATGCCGAGCTGCCGAGCCGCCGAGCTGCCGAGGTGCCGAGGTGAGCACCGCGCGGACGGCGGACGGTCAACGAGCGCTCGACGTTGTTTGTTTACGCGCTACGCTCCACCTTCCCGCGCTACCTGTCTCTATCTAGCGACTTGCTACGCGATAATCAAAACCTCGACCACGACCAAAACCTATAACATATGACGGTGTAAATTACCTTATGACGATATTGATACATTAAAGTTTCTTTTGTACATAATTTATTTTCAAACATGCTTACTTCGATTATGGCAGCATTTGCGAAGTTATTCCGTAATCAATATAAAATGATCGATTTTTACTTGACTTCAACAATCATTAAATTTAAATAAAAATGAAAGCTGAACCTGTACATCGCTGTCAACATTAGAAGGTTTTTAGTTTAGCTTTTTGTCACTAGATGGCAGTAGGCGTATTTAGCGCGACTAAACTCGTTTGTGTTATATTCCAGAGAATGACTATAACATGATATCTGTGTGTATATTTTTACACAATATTGTGAGAAGTTTTTACGTATTACAGGACCAGGAAATTGATTTTAAAGGTTTCTTCACCTCAAAGTTATTGATATGCATACTTCTTTTTTAATCAATATAAATGACGTTTTCCTCGAGTGCCATGAACGTGGAGCTGAGCTGAGCTACTTTCACGAAGTGTGGCAAAGTAAACATGATTGCCAAAACACAATACAACACAAAAGTCACGTCTCATATTGAACTAATGGCGATCACAACTATTAGTATTGTTTCTTTGTTTGCTTTCAAATTAAAACATAAAAAACTATATAAAAGTATTTATAAGCGGTATACAGTTAATTGTGTTAAATAAATATTTAATCTGAGGGATAAATTAAATTCAAATACTGTAATAAGGTGTTTTATGTTATATATTGTCTGTGGAGCTGTAGCTGTAGCTGTACGTGCACAGCACAATGTCACCTTGTGTACAACCACACACATGGGCCGCTCGCGCCGGACTCGCGCCGGACCGCCGCACACTGTAGCTTCTACTACTGTTAATTTGAGCTAGTCCTGTGGTGTGCCAATGTATCTCTGCCGAGCCTCAAACATGGCCGCTAGGCTGGACGTGTAGGCTAGTATTTTATTTTGTATAGTTCCGACGATATGTCCTGGACTGATCTTTCATCGCACATCTTAAATTAGCTTAAATTTACTGTTAATCAGTTATCAAAAAATCAAGATGACATGTCGCAGCTTTTCATATGACATGAGTTGTTTGAGTTCAGTTACAGCAACTATTATGTGTTAGTTTTTAATGAATAAAACAAAATACATATGGAATTGAGTTGAGTTAGCGGCTGGTACCTCTAACCGTAACTCT